ATAATACGAAGGATATAATACAGTAATGCACTTGCCCGCAAACTGGTGCAGAACGACTTTGCCAAACCGCACCAAAGCAGCCGCACTGCCACGCCCCACCGGTCCGCAATGATGAGGACTGTATGTTACAAGGGGAGGGGGGACAAGCACAAGCACTCTTTCAGGCCACAATGGGTCTACACTTTAAAAAAAACTGATCGCAGGTTCCCTTATAGGGTAGTGCAGGCGAGCAGAGATGTTAGAAGCTTTGTCGGCCATGTTCTTGGACAAATGCAAAAAGAGCGACCTGCCGGAACCGATCCTACGACGTCTCGCCTAGGAAACCCGCTCGCTATCCGTTGCGCTCTGCTACCACGTTTCAGAACGACTCCATACATAAATGTAAAGACGCTTCCACGTTTCCTCGCGATAGCCCCTTTTGGACCGTGCGAGCCAACACTCAGTATTCCTCTCATTGACGGCCTTCTGGGCGGAGATTTTCTGAGCTTTTTTCCCATACCTCTCCCTCCCAAATAGTAGTAATATAAAGCAATCTGTGGGAATCACTCCGTTTTTCTACACTATGTGAGAACATCTTCAAATCCATTGCTTTTATTCCGAAGCAATGGTAACATTTGATGGCTAAATATGTGCCCTTGCGGATCACAAACATTCATTTTCTCAACGTTAGCTGCTTTGTACGAGCTTGTTCCCTGATTTCAATTGAACCAGCCTAATAACATGCCGACACCTGCACACTTGGCATTCGTTTTATGGTTAATTGTAAGGTAAGGATGACCGTTAGTGAAATAAATGACTTTCACACTTGCACCAGTGAGTAATAACTTTTTCCCAGTAGTGGTAACCATGCCAGAATATACTGAACAATCACATAATTGGTAATAGTACGTGGTGACGTTCTGTTGAGGAGTTCGTCCATTCTGTAAAGAAGAAGGCACAGGACTCAAAATTTGACCATATTGCTTGAGTGATATATTTCTCGAACCTCTTCATGTACTCGTCACTAGGACGCGAAACCGGTGGATCACTTCGTATGTAATCATGAACTTTTGCTGGTGCTACAAGAAGGAAATATTCCGTCCAGTTCACCTGAAT